TCTCCTCGTCTCTCTCTCTCGTCTCGTCTCGTCTCGTCTCTCACTTCGTCTCTCTACTCGTCGTCGTCGTACTCGTCGTCTCTACTCGTCTCTCTCTCTCTCTCTCTCTCTCTCTCTCTCTCTCTCTCTCTCTCTCTCTCTCTCTCTCTCTCTCTCTCTCTCTCTCTCTCTCTCTGATTCGCCATTCACTTCCCTTGCAGGATCTCGTGTCGCTGTAGACGGAGCGCGATGGAGATAGCTTCCTGAGTTCCGCAGGCAATCCGGCGCGCAACAACGTTCCTCCCCGATGGATGCGGAAAACCGTGTCATCCTGAACGTTGGCGGCATCCGCCACGAGACGTACAAGGCGACGCTGAAGAAGATAGCCGCCACGCGTCTCTCGCGTCTCACCGAGGCGCTCGCCAACTACGACCCGGTGCTCAACGAGTACTTCTTCGACCGCCACCCGGGCGTGTTCGCGCAGGTGCTGAACTACTACCGCTCGGGCAAACTGCACTACCCGACCGACGTGTGCGGGCCGCTGTTCGAGGAGGAGCTCGAGTTCTGGGGCCTCGACGCCAACCAGGTGGAGCCCTGCTGCTGGATGACGTACACGCAGCATCGCGACACGCAGCAGACGCTCGCAGTGCTCGACCGGCTCGACCTTGACACGGAGAAGCCCAGCGACGAGGACGTCGCCCGCAAGTTCGGCATGGAGGAGGAGTACTTCTCCGGCAACATATCCTGCTGGAAGAGGTTCCAGCCGAAAATATGGGCGCTCTTCGACGAACCGTATTCTTCCAAAGCTGCTAAGGTAGGTAGGCGCGGGGTGGTGGTGCCTGGTGGCGGTGCCTGGTGGCGTGTAGCCGGAGGATCTGTCCAATCCCTTTTGCGTGTGTGTGAGAGAGAGTTAGATACGGTTATATCAGAGTACTGTATATATCAGAAGTAGATAATAGGGATTTATGTTATGTTATGCTATGCTATGTTATGTTATGTTATGTTATGTTATGTTACGTTACGTTACGTAGGCCCTATATATGTTATCTTATGCTATGCTATGCTATGCTATGTTATGTTATGTTACGTTACGTTACGTTATGTTGCGTTGCGTTGCGTTACGCTGCGTTAAGTTACGCTACGTTACATTACATTACATTACATTACATTACACTATATCATGTTATATTATAATATATTTGTATTAAATTATATTATATTCATGCTATGATGCTTGATGCGGCCACTGCTTAGTGGGATGAATCTATATTAGTAGTAGCATAGTGATGGTGTCGGTGAATGGTATCGCTGGTATGACGTAAACTTGTACTTCCAAACGTTGATGTTTCCATCTTTCTTTCCAAATTCCAAAAAAATGTTTTTAGAACGCGAGGTTGTAATTGCTCTCCCTGTTTTCACGCAGATATTAAGCAGTCGAAAAGTTATTTTTTAGACATATGCGAGAGCTATATTATGAACAGTCATAAAGAACAAACCCTGCGTGTAAATCCCAAATCACCTACAGTTTCCTTATACAAGTTGTTTCGTCGTTGAAAAGTATCGTAAACATGGAACGTAAAACGCGTCACTCAGTAGAGATTAACTCTCGTGTATCTAAAGCATTTCTTCATCCCCGCATTATCGAGCAAGCGTAATTACTCGAGCGGCTATTTTCGTAGTTCTGTCACTATAAATAATGGACTCCATAGAACCACGCCACTCATCGTACAACCACGCAGCCTCGCGCTGTATGTTTTGGCAATACACGCGGCGAAACCCCCTCCCCTTACAAGTTTCGTTTGTTTCGTTTTGCGATTTCCTTTCGGTTTTTAACGCTCGCCAGCTGTATGGGTAACCCAGCATCCGATGCATGCTTGGTGTCGGTTTTTACCGTTCGTTCATTCAAGTCCCGGCGTCGCGAAGAGAGGCGTGGGCTGAACATGGGGGGGGGGGTGAGCAACAGCTGCTAATTCTCCAAAGCCTCTTCGCTTTAGCCACGCTGTCTAGAGCGTCTGAGAGCACAGGCCAGCGCCAACCACTTAAGCATTCGAACCAGTATGAGCGGCCACCTTTACAGAACGGTCACCTGTCCATTAAGGCAACGTTTGGTGCTTCCATTGAGAGACCGCTAAGTACAGGTTTCACTGTAGTTGTACATGGTGAACATCAGCAATATTATTATGATGAGGTGGCGTTGAACTTCCACGCGTATTCTATTTCATCGGCTTTGCGTTTGAAAAATATCGCGGAATGAAGATTGTTCGCGGTGGTCCGTCATCAGAGTGCTTCGAAATCAATGAAAAAATAGCGTACTCGTGCGCGTAGCTATTTGGAAGGAGTCAGAAATAGAATGCATATTTTATTGGTAACGCCTGCTGGTTGTATGGCTTAGTTTGAACGGGGCTGCTGCTTAGCCGTATGTCTGTGCCTTCTATTTCTGATCTCGCTGCCAAATATTTGAACCAGAAGTGCATTAAGTCAAGGAAATGGCGTTTACTGTTTACACAAATGGATGAAATACACGTGTGAGAGGTTCAAGTATAGAATTAGTTATTATAGAGCCGTGCATGACCAATATTAGAAGCGGATTTTACAAACGGAATAGACATTTATAAGTAACGCCACTGCACCTACAAAGCAGGAATATGCAAATCTTAAAAATGATTAAATTCTAAAAAATTCTAAAAAATTCTTCATAAATTCTAAAAAAATTCGCAAATCTTAAATTTTATAGATAATACTTTTAATTTATAGCATACATGTTGTTGCATACCAGAGTAATTAACCGTTTTTAAATAACAGTACCAATAGGGTAACAGCAATCCAATATACAAATAACAAATAAAATTACGAATTAGTATAATCTATATGTGTATATTTACGAATATATAATTAAATAAGTAAGTAAATAAATAAATAAATTCATTAATTAATTAATTAATTTATAAATAAATAAATAAATTAATTAAATGAATGAATGAATGAATGAATGAATGAATAAATAAATGAATAAATGAATAAAAGAGTCAAGCGAGCAAACGAATTAATTAATGGATGGATAGATGAATGGATGAATAAATGAGTAATTTCATAAACAAATGAATGAATGTATAGATGTAGGTATGTGTGAATTAATGAGCGAATGAACAAATAAATTAATAAATGAACGGATGAATGAATGAATGAATGAATAATAACTAACTGGCAAACTAAATAAATAAATAAATAAAATGATAACTAAATAAATAAATAAATATCACTGATGCACCTGCTCTAGGACAACCAAGTAACCTCTGTGCCGACTGCAAACTTTAAGCAGAATATATGAATGAATGAATGAATAAATGAACGAATGATTGAATGAATGAATGAATGATTGAATGAATGAATGACTAAATGAAAAGACGAACGAGCGAATTGAGAAATGATGAATAAATAAATGAATGAATAAATAAATGAATGAATAAATAAATGAAAGAATTAATAAATTAATTAAAGAATATTCCACTAACGCACCTGCACCAGTACAATCTAGTAACCTCTGTGACGACTGCAACATTTGGCATAACTAATTTTATGCCACCTCATCGTTACATAATTAAGCATTTGTCATGATTAATAAAGGAGCATCACATTCTAAAATTAAACGTGGCATTATAGCTGGTTAATTGATAATTTTGCACTCGTGAATGTGCTAAAAACTATATATAGGCTTTTTAACGAGTAGAATTCAACATATTCCCTCCCAGCCCAAACCGTTGTTGGTTTGGCAGGCTTCGTTCGCGCGTTGATCACCCGTCTCGTTTTTCTACCTACTGTCTGGTACACAAACATCGTAACCAATCAAGCATGCACGCCACACGCCGCGCGTTTTACGCGCGCTCGCATGTGTCCGCAACGCGAATTAATTACTCTAAAAGGATGCTCGCATTTTTTTTCCTGTGTTTACTTTCAGGTGGTGGCTGGTGTATCTGTGTTCTTCATCGTCATATCGATATTGTCGTTCTGTCTCAAAACGCATCCGCATCTACGCGTTCCCGTCATCAACAATGTCACAGTGCAGATATCCGACAACATAACCGCCTGGACTCTGGACAAGGAGAGCACGGAGGCACACCGCGCCTTCTTCTACATCGAGGCAGTATGTAACGCCTGGTTCACGATCGAGATCATCATGCGATTCATCGTGAGTCCGAACAAGTTGCAGTTCTGCAAGGCGCCTGTAAATATCATAGATTTTGTAGCCACAGCTTCGTTTTACGTCGACTTCATGCTGAACAAGCTGTCGAACGTCGAGAACGCCGACATACTGGAGTTTTTCAGCATAATACGCATCCTTCGGTTGTTCAAACTGACGCGACATTCGCCCGGACTGAAAATTCTCATACACACTTTCAAAGCCAGCGCCAAGGAGCTCACGCTGCTAGTGTTCTTCTTGATACTTGGCATAGTGATATTCGCCAGCTTGATATACTATGCCGAACGCATACAGGATAACCCGCTAAACGACTTCACGAGTATACCGGTCGGCCTGTGGTGGGCAATAGTGACGATGACCACCGTCGGATACGGAGACATGGCGCCAAAGACTTACGCGGGCATGTTCGTCGGCGCACTGTGCGCTCTCGCCGGTGTGCTGACCATTGCTCTGCCCGTGCCTGTCATTGTGTCGAACTTCGCCATGGTTTACTCGCACTCTCAAGCCCGAGCACGGCTGCCTAAGAAGAGGAGGCGCGTTCTGCCGGTGGAGCAGGTACGGCCGCAGCGGAAGGGTCCCGGGGCGGGACCCGGCGGTCCGGCCAACCGGCGGATGAACGCCATCAAACACAACCATCCAATGAAAGACGCTGGAAATCGGATAGGTGAGACAGGACGACGCTGTGCTGTGTCTCTGTGTGCCGCACGCGGCTGTAACCTGTAGATCTTAGTAGTCGTCGTTTTGTATCTGTGTTGATCGTCGGCAGTACGGAGAAAAATTTAAATTTACAGAAATTTTTTTTCAAGCGAATTGTTCTGTCCGTGTTGGTTGTATCTCATGCTACTAAAATGTAAATGCAAGTGTATTTGGTGTGTGTCTATGTGCAGCCTGTATAATGATACTTCTTACAGCATTTTAGCATACGCAGATGAGAATATTATTGTACATATACTGCGTGGCATAGGCACATTTACAACGTTATGCTGTCATTCTCGAACTTTGCACATTAAACGTTTATTGCCTCCTCAGTTACAGCTGATACCACGTGATCCAGGACGCGTGTTCTATTTGCTAAACATCTTTCGTTTTAGGTTTTTAGGTGTCGATCCGTGTTTCCAGCCAGGATGCGATGAGATGTTCCACTCTTACTCTCTAATAATTATCAGTAACTCGGTAAATAAAACATGTCCCGCAGCTCACGATTAGGCAATAATACGCCAACCTTGTAGCTAAGCATCTATTTATTATAGTGTAATATAATTAGCAAATATCAGGAGTTGATCCACGGAATCTGGAAGGGAAATGGGTCCGGTGAAAATGGAGCACAGGTAGCGGGTAGCGGGGATTGTTACTTGATATTTTTACTTGTTACTTGGGTACGTTAAGGAGTTTTTATAGAGAAATGCTATTTCAATCCGATGGATTGCGACTATTTTTTACATGTTTTTTAGAATTACTTGATTCTATTTTAATGGAAGCAATTTTTTTACTATGTATTGGAAAAATCAGGCCTATAAAGTCACAGTGTGGAGCTGACCCCCTAGATTTTCCTCTAGGACCGTTCTCAACGTTCTTACACGAGCCTGTTCTTATATGCAATGTGATATATTATTCTTACAACCTTTATCCTATGAACTTGACGCATAGTTCAAAACCGGGTCGGTTACGGATTCGTCAAGCATAAGTCTAGTTCATTATTGTAACAAATCTTTGCTTCCGCCCTTAATTTTAGACAGGGAATCGAATAACATTGGCTAAATGTTAAGTAGGCATAAATGTTAACTTTGAGCCTCACGGTAAATATGAAGGACATTTCTTCGTGTTAAATGGCGAACTTTTTCCGTTGTCCATATTGCTTGCCAATTTTCAAGCGTTTCTTACATGTTCGAAACGTCAGGTCATAGAAAGTTTAACGTCGCATCTTAATCTCAAATCTTTTTACATATAGCAGAAAAATTTGGCTCGTCATTACTAACTCACGAACAGATACACTAATTATGCCCTCTAAATCACGGTCAACTAATGACATTATCTGTAAATGTCACTTAAAAGTCATATTCGGCAGTAATACAATATAACACCATTGCCCCATAGGCCTAATTAGAATACACATTATGTCATCTTCGTTCATAATCACGTTAATGGCACAGCTTGTATTTATCCCCCCACCCGACCCGAAAGAATATTGATTACCAAAATATATATCATCGTGTTCCATGAACTCGCAGTAAGAGTTCTGAAGAGACGAAATGGCACGTCGTACACCGCGATGTGCAGATTTACCTCCATTCTAACGTCGACGTCTTTCTGACGTTGGCTTTTCTTTCGGTAATCTTAGCTTTTTCCTAAAAAACGGTTAGAACTATTGCTCGGCAGAGCAGTCTAAAACAAAACAATTGACCATTCAGGCTTGCGTGATTGACAGGTAGTTCTAGCCAATCAGCGTCGAAATAGGAGCATTCTAAAATATGCTGCATCGCGACACAAGTTCGACAATTTGACGCGCGCGCGTGAGAAACACATACAAACTGGTAGCTTGGCCGATCCAGCAGCAATATCCAAGGAAAGGCGTGGCCGTCTCGCCCAGACGTATAGGTCAGCTGGGACAAAGCTCATTTATGCTATATATCGACACATTAAAAGTGTCCCACATTTTAGCGTCTCGATATCGCCGCGTGTATAGAGCTTGCTGTGGGTTATCCAGCCAGGCACGCCGCCGCGCATAAACAGTAGCGGCCATGCAGGCAGGCAGGCAGGCAGGCAGGCAGGCAGGCAGGCAGGCAAGCAGGCAGGCAGCAGCAGCCACATCTGCATACGCCTAATCGATACGGTAAAATGGAAAACACCTCCTAATGGAGCGTCACCCTATTTCTGCAGATTCACTCGCGCTGCTGATGACGCCCGTGCTTCCTTCATTACTGTGTGTATCTAGCCTGCTCAGGGTCTCACGCGGAATCAGGAGGCAATCAAAAGGAATGAATGCGTATGGCGAGCCTTCATTTTAAGCCATTCCGCCGTAACTGCCGACACAGATGTCCTTGTTTCACCCCGTACATACACACATGCACGCACGCGCGCACACATACGCACACACGCGCACACGCACACGCACATACGCACACGTTTATATATATACTAGCGGGATACCCGGCGTTGCCCGGAGAAATTAGTGGCGTTACTCAGTTGGTAACCGCTTGGTTAAAAGGAAAATACCCCAAAAATCTAACTATCTATCTATCCATGCATCCATTCATGCATGCATGCATCCATCCCATTCCATGCCATCCCCTGCCATCCCATCGCACCGCATCCCATCCCATATCCCATGCCATCCCATCCCATGCCATCCCATGCCATCCCGTGCCATGCCATTCCATGCCATGCCATCCCATCCCATGCCATCCCATGCCATCCCATCCCATCGCACCGAATCCCATCCCATCCCATCCCATCCCATCCCATCCTCCCATCCCATCCCATCCCCATCCCATCCCATCCCATCGCCATCTCCCATCCCATCCATCCCATCCATCCATCCATCCCATCCCATCCATCCCATCCACTCCCATCCCAATCCATCCCATCCCATCCTCTCCCATCCTAATCCATCCCATGCCATCCCATGCCATCCCATGCCATCCATCCCATGCAAACCAGTAAAAAACAATAAGAAGATCAAAAAGAATAAAAGACATAAAAATTAAAAATATAAATTAAAAAGTAAGAAATAAAAATAATACATACTAAAGAAGGTAGGTAAAAGGGAAAAAATGAAAAAAGGGGAAAATAAGTTGATTCAGCTGCCTGATTCAAACACACTACACACCACACACACACACCGCACGCACGCACGAGCACGACACGCACGCCACGCGAGCGCCCGCACCACGCACGCTACGGCGGCATACACACACATACACAACATTGCGCGCCACGCTTCTCAACAGCGACTGGCACGTGTCACGGAACGCACAGCGCCACACGCACGCACACACACACCACACACACACACACGCACGCACGCACGCACGCACGCACGCACACACACACACACACGCCACCCCCCCCACCACACACACTGTTATTTTAGCTAGTCTAGCAGTACGATATTATGGTTCAACAAATTTTTTAAATCTATACAGTCATACCATTTAAAGGTGGATTAAGGGGGTGGGGTCCATGACGTCTTGCTTGCACTCTCTGTGACAACAGGCCAGTTATTATTACTTGCTTAAAACATTTGTCTACCTTCAAAATAGACGTTATGCAGTCGAAATACGTCGGATTAACCCCGCATTTCTATATGGACATTTGTGAGCGGTCATCCAGCTCAATCCCTCTCTCATCATCAACTCTCCGCTTAGTTTCATGTTTACTGCCCCCCTCACTCCCAGAATTCCTGGATTTATTCTTGCGATTGTAGACAAAACATCAAAATCACAGCTTATCGTTGTTTTAATCTTGCAACCGCATGTTCGCGTTATCTCGCCTATACCATGCACCTTTCAACCATAAATATTGTCGATGTGAAAAATGGATAATACGCACATTTATATTTGCCAGGTATGGCTCTAACTGTATCCGCATCCGCAGGGAATGAATCATTCCATAAATTTATCTACGTGTATGTGTTGGGAAGACATCCTGTTGTATTACTCTATGTATGTGCGTTACTCACACTGGCGGCTTTTACTTGCCTTTTTTGTGAAGGATTTCATGTTCTTGCAGGTTGTGTTTATAATGGCGTGTGTCTACTAGAATATTCACGGAGAAACCCCATAGATTTTACATTGACGTTTAACTTTTTTTCCCCTTTCAGAAAGCCGTGCCTTTTTGCATGTTTCTTTTCAATTATGGTAACATCTATTTTCTTAGCTTAAAGACATTCAAATGGAACGGGACGATCAATGTGTCGAGAGTTAAGACGATTTTTCTCCATCGTGTACATCTAACGTTTAGTTCCGTGAGAACGGTTCAGCTGGAGCCCACATGTACTATTAACATTCCAGAAAAGATGCTAACACAGCTGCGCCATTCATTTTTTGAGCAAATGTATTATGGAGCGTGTAACATGCCAGTAGGACACCAACCGTTCTCCTTATAGCTGAGGAGCATATTGTATACCATGTGCTATCGGCGGGCGTCGTCACTTCGAATATCTCCACATGTATCTATCTTTATGTCTGTTTTTACACACAATCAAGTCAAGACTGCTGTATACACAACGCAGACTTAGCAGAGAGCAATTTGACGGTTTAAATATGATTGATAAGCGCATGCCAAACGATCGCGCATCGCGCTCAGACGCACGCACACACACACACGCACACGCACACGCACACACACACGCACACGCACACGCACACGCACACGCACACGCACACACACACACACACACACACACACACACACACACACACACACACACACACACACACACACACACACACACACACTACACACACACACACACACACACACACACACACACACACACACACACACACACACACA